CTAATTATTGCAGCAATAGTTACTACACAAGAAAATACTATTTTTTTGTTCTTCGTTCTGAGGTTCAGTCAACAAAAGTCATCTCTTTTTTGAATTTCACACTTTCTGCTTCGAAACTTCAGCTTTTCACACATCTAACTCTCCTTGTAAGGAATGTATTGCATACACTACAAAACAAACTATTCTTCTCCCCAAGCCTGGGCTTGTTCTCTACTGGAAAATCAGTCACTCTACTGTCAGCTTATTGATGGTGTAAATGCTGGTTTGTGGGGACTGATGCTGAGTGAGGCGTTTTGTTCGATATGGACAAAGAACACGTGTGTGATTTGGTCTGATTTGGGTGATCTGCATAACTGGCACGGACGGGATAATCATTCGCGTTCATTTGTGTATGTGGCTATATTTCCAAGTTTTGGCGGTGTTTGTTTTCAGGGGCAGTTATCATTTCATTTCAGAGAACCTTATTGTCTTGGTTTTGTTGTCCAGAGTGCCTCTAAAGAGTCCAAAATAATCAAACGGCCACCTTAATGGACTGAAATTTGTGAGTTAACTTGTGTTTTATGTTACTACAATGTGTTTCCTTCTCATGTTGGTGACATGTGGTGCCTCATGAGCGTCTAGTGAAATACCAGAAGGAGTGTAGGGCCCTGCTGGAGCTGCTCGGCGTTGTCTTGGGAAGTGGAAGAGAAAAAGAGTCTCTCTTTCACCACACTCTTGATCATTAACACAGAATCACCCACATAAACACACAACTAGACAGATTTATATGTATCTTATTTCTGCTAGAACACCTGTTGCCTGGTGGTTAAACAAGAAATGGAGAGATGAGAAAGACAATGAACATCAATGTCAATGAGAGCTGAAGTCAATGAGTGCTCTTTCCTCCAAAAACAGCACCTCTATTCTCAGATTATAGTACACAGAGAGCTAATTGATTGAAGTAGACAGACCAGATAAATCATATGAGGGTAAATACCAGGAAAATAAGTAAGCATTTCCAAAATAGCAGAGAAATAAACAAGGATACGCACACACACACACACACACACACACACACCGCATATATGCATATTGCCAAAAGGACACCTGAGATTGACATGAAAACCTCAAACTTTCCACCAAATTTTAGAAACATATTTTCTAATGTACTACTGCCGTCATGCTACTAAAATGTGATAGTAAGATTTGATTAAATGCATCTTAAGAAGCGTCCAAGTTAACTAATAGTGACTGTTGATCCATCTAAACTCCAAGTAACACAATGCATTATAATTACACTACCTATGACCTGGCTTGTCATTCTTTTTCTATTTAATGAGACCCTTCTAATCACTTAAAAAGCCGTATTTTAACATAAAGAGATTGTTGAGTTATGAAATTAACTCAATGTTTGTCCCTGTAAATGAAAAACACTCTCAAAGTTTTTTGACATCTTGCCATGATTTCCATGAAAAAAGACAAAAAGACTTGAGCTGAGCAGTTAGGAATTCCAGCAGAACCAATTTTTTCTTCACGGTTACTGTACACAATAATTTGAAATGAAGTGTATTTGATGGTACACTACTATGACGTCAGGGAAACCGTAGCAGAAAGTTCCCTTCTGTGTGTATGAATTAAAGAAAAGAACGCAGAAAGAAAACAGTCAGAAATGTGCAATAACACAAAGAAGACAGATGATAAATTGTTCTATTAT